GGGACTGTACGAAGACGTGTACCATCATATGTAATTTTCTGTCATAGGAGGAAGTACATTGACAGTTCTACAGCCATTAAAAAACATCTGGGAAATATATTATTAACCTATATTTTCAACCTAAAGGGATTTCCCCAGACGGGCAGACAAACGGTCATGATCAAGAATATAAGTATGGATAATACTAAGTGTTACAAACAGAATGACAAACTTAATATACCCTCCATGCAGGATGAGATAAAAAACTGCAACAAAGTCAAACGCCATAATTTTTACATTTTTTTTTTAATTGTATTGAATGAGAGCAAAAAAAGTTTAGATTTGTTCGAATTTGTCACCTTTGGAACGAATAATGGTCTTCAAACGCCCAATAAATGTGTCACACGCTGACCGAACGTGAGGTGATTGACACTTTGATATTTTTTAGTGCCAATCTTGCTTTCCAAAATACTCCAGACACAATAGTCCAACGGATCCGGATGTGCGCTGGAAGCGAGGAACCTCATTTTGTAACCATTCTTGAATGGCGCGTGCTGAGTGCGATGATGCTGAGTCCTCTTAGAATGTCCAAGGTCTGCGGCCAAAATGATTGTGTGCCCAAGGCTTTAATACACCCTCCAGAATATATTCGTGATAATGTTCGGCATTTATTCTGATGCCATGGTCGATTAATACGAGCGGAGAACGACCATCGGCTGTTATGGCGGCCCACGCCATCACCATGGCCGGCGCTTGAGTTCTGGTGGCCAACCGAAGGTGCACATTTTCAGCTGACCTCTTTGCAAGAAAACAAGATCATTTTGTTTGTCTGGACAACGAATATTTTCTCATCGGAGAAAACCGAATTCGGCAGTTCACCACTTTCGGCCAAGCGAAGCAATTCTTTACCTCTTTTGAGTCTATTTTCTTTCCGATGTGGTGTAAGTTCTTGCACTTTTTGGAAATTTCAATGGCTTTACCCCGAGAATGATTTTTACCCCAGAAAATATTTATTCACTTTTAAATGCTGAAGTGCTCTAAGGATAGCCACTTGTGGTTTTCCAGCCAAAATAAAGAAATCACACTATCACGCTTCCATCAGGAATATTTTTTTTTTCTGGAAAATTCTCACCAAAATGCTTTTGTACGCTTGTAAACAATATGAAGAGCTGTCACTGGAATAATTTTAACAGTTGTCGGACGAGTGGCTTAGAAATGACAGCAGTCTGAAGTTGGTTGCAGTTTCTTCATCCCACCCTGTACTATGACAGTTGAGGCAGATGTACCTCAAGCATTAAATGATATTGACACTTAAAAGCTCTATTAAAGAATTTGTATTTAATGTTCTCTAAATTCAAAATCATAATTTTAGTATTTTGGTACTCGCAATTCTCTATTCATCTATGTATTCATTTCTGTCTTGAATACGTGGAAATATTATATGGAACGAACAGTTGGCCGCCTAGATCGTGCGATTTAAGGCCTTCATCAAATTGTTTGTGGACCTATGTTATCTATTCAGATAAGCCCGCTTCGATTGGCACATTGGGAGTCAACATTGAAGCATTTAACCCTGAGATAATGACCGAAATGTTGGAAAGAGTATACCAAAGTTGGACTAAGCGGGTAAACCATTTGAGGCGCAGTCGTGATCAAACTTTGTATGGAATATTATTTAAAAGTTGAATAATATTGGCCGTATTATCAATTCAAATGAAGGTTTAATGCATTCTTCAGATTTATATGTGTTTTCGCTAAAACTTTACAACAGAGAGAGTGGATCGCCACATGTGAAAATTATATCTAATTGTATGTGGGATATGTGAAGAGAATTGTAAACAGACTTCATATTTGAGGAAAGTTTTTGGTGTTCTAAATGTTGCCTTTTTGGTATGTTGCTACGAAAAGGGGTGAACAAATTCAGGACGAACACAAATGGTTACTTTATAGTATTTTTTTGTACATTTTATGTAGGCATTTATTATACCCTTCACCATACTATAAAGGTTATATTAACTTTGTCATTCCGTTTGTAACGCGAAATGCTCATGTTAGCCCTCATATAACTGTACCCTCCGATATTCGATATTTTGAAGGAGTTATATAGACAATGCTCTTCTACAGGAGGTATAACCCGTTACAAACTATAAGTACATAATTTTAAACAATTCTGTTAGAAAATATTATCTGGATATATTTTCTAACAGAATTGTTTAAAATGATGTACTTATAGTTTGTTAAACCTCCTGTAGCAAAGCATCGTCTTTATAACTCCACGTTTCCTTGTAGCTTCCATATAACTGTACCTCCCGATATTTTGTATTTTAAAAATTTAAACCAAATTTTTAATCGCAATTGTTTATAATTCTATTCATAGATTTTATAAGGGGTTCCACCTCTTGTGGCAAAACATTGTCTAGTAGGTTCACGTTTTCTTTACATAATGGTAGTTCCCGATATTCAGCATTTTTACGACTTGGATCCCGTTTTTAAACACAATTGTTAAAAATTCAGTTCCATATATTCATATAGTTCCATATATTCCGAAATTCGATACTTAGGGTTCGTGATGAGTTCTACCTCCTGCGGTAGATCATTGCAGGTATAGGTTCACATTTTGCTATTGTACTTTCTCTGATTTCATTACTCTACTGATGATTTCAGTCACATTTTTCAGCGGAATCGTTTAAAAATTGGTATGTAGTATGTAGTAATGGGCCATGTTCTCTATGACAGAGGGCGGCTGTGTTCTCTTCTTTATCTTTCTTTTATCACACCTCCGAATATGACTTTAGCCAGATTTTTTTATGTTGTATTTGACACTTTTAAAACCACTTTGGCAGGAAACTGGTACCATCGACTTTGCTACATTTTTAAGACATTATTTAGCCCAACCCAATAATCAATTCCGATCCTCAAGGACTTAACGTATTTTTACTTGTGTTTGCTCCATGAAATAGGTTTGAACTGCATTTGTAGTTACGTCGTTGATCCAAGACCACCTTAGCCTTTCTAAATTCTACAATGTTCCAACTTGGTTTGTATAAGAAATGACAAGTAAAAAACATTAAGTTCTTTTACTTTAAGTACTTTTAATATCCTCCACCTTAGAGTAAATGCCAATTTTTAGACATATTCATGGGAAAATGTGGCAAAAAACATCAAAATACCGAATATCGGTAGGTACCGCTATATGGGACTATACAAAAACGTGAACCTATACATAAAATGTTTCGCCAAAGAAGCTAGAATCCCATAGAACCCACAAATACCAATTTTTAGACAAATCCGCGAAGAATTTTGTCAAAAATCATGAAAATACCGAATATCGGATGGTACCGTTATACGGGAGCTATATCAAAACGTGGACCTATACATACAATGTTTCGTCACCAGAGCTAGAACCCATTCTGACCGACAAATACCTATTTTTAGACAAATCCGTGAAAAAATGTGAAAAAACCATCAAAATAACGAATATCGGGAGGTACCGTTATATGGGGGCTATAGCAAATCGTGGACCTATACATACAATGTTTCGCCACACGAATAAGAACAAATTATGACCTACAAATACCAATTTCAAATCCAAATCCAAATCATTAAAATACCGAATGTCGGGAGATACTGTTATATGGGCACTATACCAAAACGAGGACCGATATATCTCATTTTCAATACCAACCATCCTAGACACAATACAAATTGTTTTGCTAAATTTTGACGGTCTGCGTCAAATAATGTGGGCTGTATCGTGAGTTCAACAGACAGACAGACGCACAGACATATTTAAATCGACTTAGAATTTTATACTGATTATGAATTCCAAGGTAGAGGGTATAAAAATAACTTTTTCCTATAAATTTTGAACTTTTGCGGGGGATCGATGTAATCCATTTCAACACTTTAAAATCAGACACTGACACATTTAGACTTATTTTAGGTGAAACGTTGCCCATATATGACTCTTTGTGGGAGAGGTTCCATATCTATTTTCGAATCTGATCTAAGTATGATACAATTATTGTGATGTATGAAGTAGGCCGATATTGACCGAGGAAAGATAAAATATTGCGATATGCCAAGTACATACACTCTCGCTCTCTGTGAGATATACAATTCTGTAATTATTTACCATTTATAGGGATACCATAATGGGAAGCAATCAACCGATATGACCCATATTCGATCCTGAGCGTAGTTTGGTAAAATATTAGATATACCAAATTTGAACCAAATTTCAAAATCTATTTAGCCAGAATTAAAATGGGTTTGATTATGGAAAAATTTAAAAGATTTCTCCAAAGTTTCTCACTGAGTTGACTGTGATTTGCCATTTCAAATTCTAAGGCAATGTAAACCATATTCCTGGAATTTTTCAAAATTGTTAATCCAAATATGGGTTTTATATTTCTGTCGCCCTTGGTTAATATACAAGTTATTACACTTTTTTAAGTAAGGAGTACAAAAACTAACTGACCTCTCTTAGGGCGTTTTTTTAGTTGTTGCTGTTTTTATTCCAAGTGAAAAGTTAATAATGAAATAAACATTAAAATGTTAAATGCAAAGTAATATGTTAAGTAAATAGCCAGGTTTTTAAAATAAAACGCCACTGGTGCATGAGCAAAAATGCTAAACTCTAGCATTTAATATCCACAATAATCCACTTTTATCAGATAAATCTAAGCATAAACTAGAGCAAACACAAGGCGAAGAGGATGGAAAATAAATTCTCTAAGCTTCCTACCAAGAGCGGGTATTAAGTAGAAAAAAAAAGAGAAATATGTAGACACAGGACAGTGGAGATGGAGACTGAAGCATATTTGTTTTAATATCTTGGCTTTATATTAGCATTTTTATGGAGCATTTGAAATAATAACAGTTCATTTCTCTTGCGTCTGGCCCAGCGTTTGGTCGTTGTGTTTTGGCGTTTGACACACTTCTGGCAGCTGGTTTTGTTTCTTTAACTTGATGCTGTTGATGTCATTAATATTTCTTCATTCCATCGTTTTTTGTTACAGATGCTGCTCTCACTGGCGGAGGAGGTGGGGATGTGGGCAGTGAGATGGCTGGCGATAGTGTGGCTGTTGCAGGCGAAGGCTATAGAGCCAGTGGTGTCGCCATTAGCCATATTCCTACCAGCATGGGAAGTCCTGCTGTGGCGGCGTCATCTTCGTCCAGCATTAGTGGCAATTTTAGACTAGGCTCTTCGTCAAAGTCGTCACTGGTGTCGGAAACAGATCGACCACGCATTTTTCGCAACCGCCATCATCACGAACAGCACTGGGGGCCATTCTTCGAAGAGCCACTCAACTCGACGACCTCGGGTGACAATAGCATAACAACAGCCCATCTCTATACGGAAGCAGTGCTGAATTGTCGAGTCGGAATGCTAAGAGACAAAACGGTATGTAAACCCATTATTTATACAAAAAAACAAAAAGAAAACGGAAGAAAAAGCACCGCATAAGTTGTTTTTGTTTCAAGTTAAAGCTCAGATTTCCGTTTTTGTCATTTTCCTCGTAAATCGGTTGTTTTTTTGGTCATCATGGTTGTATATCATCATCGTCATCAGCTTTATTGTCATCGTTTTCGTTATCACTGTGAGAATAAAGGAATAGCATATCAAGTTTGGGATTTAAATGTACAGTGGAACCACTCTACAATAGTTGCATTGAGAACAGTTATGTCCTACAAACAATTGAGAATTGATAATTTCAAATATTTTTGCTTGACTGTAAAACTGATAATATCTAGGGTAAGTCACCTGTGAGCCAAGATGGCAAGAAAGTTAAAGAAGTCAGTAAGCTACGAATAAGCAAGGAACCAAGCCATAACAAAAACAAGGAAATTGTAAAATTTCAAAAAAATCCGAAAACTACCACTTAAAATAAACCGTTATATGGGTAATATTCGAAAACGTGGACCTGTATACGAAAATTTTTTGTGATAGGCTGTAGTGGCCATTACGAACTTCAAATACGAAATTTGCTACAACTACGGTGAATAATATCGCAATAATCATGAAAATATGGAGTATCGGCAGGTACCGAAGACGTGGACCTGCACGGACAATTTTCTGTCTTTGGCAGTAGTATCCATAACAAACTTCAAATACGAAATTTGAAACGATTCCGGTGAATAATGTTGCTGAAATCATCAAAATACCGAATATAGGGAGGTACCGTTATATGGGGGCTATACGTAAACGTGATCCGACATGGCCCATTTACGAACTTGACCTACCTACTGGTAATCTATGCATGTATGCAAAATTTTAGCCTTCTATTTCAATTCGTTCGATAGATAGCGTGTTTAGAACAGACAGACGAACAGACAGACAGACGGACATCGCTAGATCTTCCTAGAATTTTACGCTGATCCACAATATATATACTTTGTAGGGTCTATTATGAATATTTCGAGGAGTTACAAATGGAATGACCAAGTTAATAAACCCTCCATAGAATGGTGGAGGGTATAATAAAGACACTGCACGTTTTATTGCCACACGCACACACACGTACGCGCATATAAAAATTCATAAATAACAACTTTGCAAATGAAAAAAAGAGCCAACATTAAGATAAATCTACAAGCAAATGTATTCCGCTTAACTGTAACTCCGAGTGGCACTCATCACCCCAAGATGTCATTATCTCCTGTGCAGGAAGACGACGAATATGGGTGGCATTCGCCTAATGCTGCTGTCTTATCACTGAAATGGAAAAATACTAACCGAAAATCCATTAATGCTTTAAAATGTCAACATAAACAGGCACTCCTTCTCCCCACCCACAACCGAAGAAGAGGAAACGAATGAAAATGAAATGAAAACATTACAACTGTAATGGCAATGTACCAGTTGTGTGGAAAGGGCGTGAACAACCGCCGTGTCTACTCACGTGTGCTGTAATTCCTCTCTTTTCCTCGTTGTTAACATTTTTGGAGTGCAGAAATCCCCTCAAGGTAACTCCAATTTGACTAAAAGCTTAGCCCCGGCTTAAGTGAAGAAAAAATATTTAAGTATCTGAAGAAAGCAGCAGAAGAAGAGAAAATAAACCCAGTCAGCCAGTCAGTCAGTCAGCTTGTGAAAAAAGCTAGATAAGTGCCAGTGCAAAAGTCAAGCATTCCTCTAAATTCCTTGAAAATGTTGACGACGGCAAAAGTCAAAATCACAGTAAGACAGTAGTTTAGAAGTGGCAAGAGGCAATTGGTGCAGAACCTTTTGGACATAATTCTTCAGGTATTCGAAATATCTATGACAGGGGTAAATTATATGTCACAGTTAACAAAAACTTCGTTCACCCTCGGAGGTTTCTTGGTTGGTACTTCTTAGTCACTCGCTTAAGATATTTAACATCTGCTAGCCTTGATAAATATATTTGAGTCTATTGCAGAAAATGTTTCATCTTGATTGGTTTCACTCTATTATAAATATAAACAAGTAAGCAAAGGCTATAGTCGTGCGGGGCCGACCATTTGATACCCTACAACATGTTCGAAGTCCCCTCATATCCAAATCCATTTTGAAAGATTTCGTTTTTGAAATAATATCAAAGAGTCCCGCCCAGAGGTTACCCTTAGTTTCTTGACCTGGATAATTTGGCCAATATTTACACATATTGGTTGTTAAGTATTCAAGTATGTGGTCCATTTTACAGCTAGTATAATCCAATGGTCATCAAAAATGCTAGACTTCTTCCCTGTCCTTAACTCTCTTCTGATGCGAAATTCCGTGTCGATTAGTTTTCAATTGTGGCCTATAGAGCGACTACCAAATTAGAAAACATATTTTTTTTTAGTCCATTTGCACCTCTAAATGTACATCTTAAGAACGATAGGCTTTAATTCTGACCCTAACAATACCCCCATGCAATATTTCGTGAGGATCGAACGATAATTGCGATATGCATATAATACCCTCAAAACGTAGTGTTGGGGGTGTAAAAATTTAGAGAAATTACAATTCACAATTGTAAGTCAAATTGAAAAAATCGAATGCGATAAAAAATATGACAAAAATTGAAAAATGTAACAAAAAATGTTCAGTATTTTTTTTGTCACAGTTCTACGCGATTTTCTTATGGTAAAATTTTTATGGCAAAAGACTATTCCGAATTGATGGGAATTGTGCAAATCGGCCCAGCGGTTCTTGATTTATAAGCAGAATAAATAAGATCAATTATTTTACATATATATTGTACCTATTTCTTGGCTATTAGCATCACTATAATGGTCAGACTGTAATGTATTCGATTTTTCTGGGATTGAAAATATTCGCAGTTTAATGGACATTTTCCTATTTTCTTAAATAAATGCTAGGGTCTATTTTACCCGCTAATTATTGTCCGATGACCCAAATTGGTAGGTTTCTGCCCACTCCTAAACTCTAACTCCATGTAAATTTTCGCGTCGATTGGTCAATAATTGTGGCCTAAAGAGCAACTGCAAAATTAGGAAATTTTTCTGTTTTTGGTCCATTTCAACCCCTAAATATTATGCGATCATCCCCAAAAGAAATTAGATTCTATTCTGGCCTTAACCCCACCTCCATTTTTAATTTCGTAAGGATCGGTTCATAATTGCGACTCGTAGCTTGATTACAAATTAACATGGACGACAGACAGACGGTCGGACGGACATACATACCAAGATCGACTCATCTCGGGAGATAGGAAGATCCATATATACTTTCCTATGTGGGAAACAAATATTTCGAGGTGTTACATAACTTTTGGCCCAATCAAACTTATAATACCCCCAATACATAGTGTTGTAGGGTATAAAAATTATTTTGTTAATTCATTCATCCATTCAATTAAATTTGTCATTCATAAAATTTGAAATTTCACATACATGTGTGTATTATATCTGGGACAGCTGGCAATTAAAGGTCCATTTTTTTAACGATACCTTCCGATATTCGATGTTTTGATGATTTTAGCCACAATTTTCATAGGAATTTGTTCCAAAGTTGGCATTAAGAGTTTTTACGATGATTTTTACTATGGATTCTGGCACCGGTGGCATAACATTATGTATGTTGGTCCACTTTTTCCTATAAGGGTGAAATGGAAAAACTGCAACCAATTTCAGACTGCTATCATTTCTAAGGCAATCGTCCGACAGCTGTTAAAATTATCCCAATGACATATATTGTTAACAAGCGTACAAAGCATTTTGGTGAGAATTTTTCAGAAAAAAAGTTATTCATGATGAAAGCGTGATAGTGTGATTTCTTTATATTTGGCTGTTGGAGCACCCCAGCATTTAAATGTGAATAAATTTTTTGTGTCTCGTACTATCGCTCGTTACCGTAATACTGGTAGCGTAGCCCGACGTCAAGGAAGTGGATGGAAGAAAACAACAACATCAGCAGAAATGGTTCGGAAAGTAATGAAAAGAATTGATCGAAACAAGCGTCGCAGTGTCCGAAAATGGCTCGTGAGCTGAACACATCGCAATATTCCATTCGCAAATATTGAAATATGAACTCGGTGTAAAGCCATTGAAATTCCATACGTCCACGTTTTCATATAGTCCCATGTAACGGTACCTCCGATATTCTGTATTTTGATGGTTTTTGCCACATTTTTCCACGGGTTTGTGTAAAAATTGGTATTAGAACTAATAAGTTCTCACTCCGGTTGAATATCTAGGTCCATGTATGCCCATAGCGTACTGATATTCTGTATTTTCATAATCCTAGTCACATTTAACCACGAATTTGTTTCAAATTTGCATTTAAACCTCACAAAATATAACAATCCTTGTAATATAAAATAGTCTACATAGATTCCCATTTTGGGAATGGCCCTCATAAAACGGCCTCACCACTTTATGGTTTTTTGAAAAATGGTGGAGGATATTAAAAGCTCTGCCCGGCCGAATTTAATGTTTTTTTGTCATTACGTTTGTAACACCTCGAAATATACATTTTAGATCCCACAAAATTTATATATTCCTGATCAGCATACAATTCTAAGTCGATTTATCAATGTCTGTCCACCTGTGGAAATCACTCTAGTTTCTGAACGAAATGAAGTAGATTGATAAAATTTTACTCAAATGTATATTATGTCTGCAGAACTTTTGGTATTGAAAATGGGCCATGTAGGGTACATTGGTGATTTTAGCGACATTATTCACTAGAATTGTTTCAAATTTTGTATTTAAATTTTATAATCGATACTACAGCCTAAAACAGAAAATTGTGTGTGCAGGTCCACGTCTTCTTATAGCCCCCATATAACGGTACCTCCCGATATTCGGTACTTTGATGATTTTAGCGACATTATTCACCAGAATTGTTTCAAATTTGGTATTCGAAGTTCGTAGTGGATGCTACAGCCTATGACAGGAGATTGTCTGTGCAGGTCCACGTCTTCGTATAGCCCCCATATA